CCGTAATACACGTGGATCACAATTCCGCGGGAACATACATCCGAGAGGCTCAACATGCCCGAAACGATGGACCCGGAAGTCCATGGCTCGCCGAACACTCGGTTGACTATCACGTGGTAGTGAGATCGGCGCGACTGTCGCGATGAATTGCAGGACGAGCTCGGCCTCTCGGCGTCGCATCCACGCATATCCTTAGTCAAAGCAGCTTATCGACACTAGAGCGATATGCCGTTTTCGGTGCACCACTTTTTCATGATGCGAACAATGTACTCGACTTGGGGGTTGTTGTTGGTCTTGAGCATGCCAAACACTTCTTCGAGCTCGACGTGGGACGCCTTGCCCGCCACAACCTTCTGAAACACCCCCACGCATGCCCCGCGCTTGCCTTCCCAGTACTCGGGGTCCGGGTCCAGTCGCTCGAGCACGTCGAACGCCTTGGCAGCATAGAAGAATTCACCCATCTACTCGACCACGTGACCACGTGCACCCCCCGCGCGACCAACGCCCTACCTTGTAGCAATCGTGGGCAATCAACTGGAGCAAGTTGAACGACTCGTCCGAGTTGTCGAGCTTTAGGTAAAGATCCCACGCGCTGGACGGGTTCGCGTTCAAAATGTAGCACCGGCACAGCCACGAAATGTAGCAGTAGTCGTGCTTGTACTCGTCCTTGGTGATCTGGGCCACGTCGCATGAAAACGTTGCTGTCGACTGTGCACAGCATCGAGACGTACCCGCAGCAGCGTTTCCAGCGCCTCGGCGTGACTGCCTGTGTTGCACAGCGAAATGCCAAAGTTCCAATTGAAGTCGTCTTCGTTGTACATGTACTGTTTGACCGAGTTGAGGTAAATGTTGACGTCTTCAAACTGCTTGAGCAAGTAAAAGCACGATGCCATGCACTGCCGTCCTGGAATGGTATCGCACTCTGTCGGCGAGCTCCCGACGAGTTGAAAGTACTGTTGTGCCGTCTTGATGTGCTGGCGCGAATTGGTTTGCTGCCCCAATGTCGCGTGCACGACCCCTGGACATCATGCACGACCATCGAGAGCTCGTCGTTGGGCGTCCAACATCCTCTCGTTGTACCTTTCAAAATGTATTCCTGCGGCGTGGACGGCTCGACGTCTTTGATCAGGTCGAACGCTTCTTGGACTTTGCCGTGCTTGAGGTAGTAAATTACCTGCAAACGACCACTGCGCATGAAACACGACCGGTGCACGCGAAACGACGACCCAGAGATGCCATCGCCGTCGACCACCGTTCAAGCCTCGACGCCAGATTCCAACGTACCAAGTTCAACCGCGCTTCCGAGAACGACTCGACAACTTGTGGCAGCGTGCGCAGCGCGTTCTGCCCGTCCTCAAACACGACCATGTTGTGGGTTACGAGATCGTTGGTCTCAATGTTGTAGCCTTTTTCCGTCAGCACACGGAGCTCGTCCTTGGCCGCATTGCCATTGTACAGCTTGAACTGGTTGCACGCCTTGACATTGATCGCGATCACCGAGTCGGGAAACGCTTGCAAGTACGCTTGCATGATCTCGAGTGACACGTCGTAGTAATCGAGCTTGTAGTAGCACATGGCGACATACACGTTCAGGGCAATGTCGTCGCGGTTTTCAAGCAGGAGGCGTTTGTAGATATCTGTGGCCTAGGCACATCGACCCATGATCCCGTGCCGTAGATTGGAATATCGATCGGTGTACCTCTTGGAAGTGGTTGCGCAGATAATGAATCGCGGCGAGCGACAGCTGGTCTTCCTTGCACTGGGACAGCTTTTGGTGGTACACGAGGAGTTTGTCTTCATCGCCAAGTTTATGCGCACAATGAAACAGGATGCGGTTCTGCAGCACATTCGATGACGGTCCTTTCAACGCTTCCTTGGTCGCTTCCTTGTACATCTGGAGGTAGTACATGCAGCACGCGCGGAAGAGAAACACGTCCTCGGGCGGGTCTCGCACTTCTTCATACGTGTCCAATGCGCGCTGGTAATGGCCCAGGTGAAAGTAACAATATGCCAGCCACAGCAAGTGCATGCGTTTGTCGTCGGGCTTGGTGTCTTCGCTCTTGACGTTGAACTCGAGGATCGTGGCGGCGCCCGTGAAGTCTCGTTTGCCAACACATTCTTCCACGGACGGTCCTTTCTTGACCTTGACTTTGGCGGCTTCCTGCTTGACTTTCAACGTCGCCTTGGGCTTGGCCGTGTACATGGTCGCGGCCACGCGATCCACCTAGTGGGGGGAGTTTCGTCGGGCCGTGTCCCTTCACGGATCGCCGACAGCCAATCCGAATCGCGGATTTCACCAACACATCCGACGATTGGCTGAAATTCCGTCCACGCCACCGGCTTCTCCCACGGTATCCGGACGTGTTCTTCAACCGAGGGACGTGCTTGTATCGAAAGGGTTAGGGGACGGCCCAACATGATTGGTGGAGAGACTGAATGGAGACGGGAGCCAATGGTTTCGTGGAATTCGGGCGGCGGCAGTCCATTTTAGTTGTGATTCAAACACGGAACGAGAATAATGGCTTCTGGTAAGTGGGCATGGCGTGTGTGTGTGTGTGGATGGCATGTGTGTGTGTGTGTTTGGCGCATTGTCGTGGCCGTGCGTAGTGGGTCGGCGAGCAGGGCGACAGTTTGGTGGACCGACCGGCACGAGCAGACATGTCCCTGCCCACTGCTCGACACAGAGATATGTGTGACGATGCTGCTGTGTCGTGTGGGTGTTTGTGGATGTTTGACAGGCGTCCGGCGTGTTTGTAGGTCGTGCGAGTGTGTCTGGTCAAAAGTTCCGCATGACGTTGGGTCTGCCCGTGGCCGCCGTGTTGAACTGCGCCGACAACAGCGGTGGTAAGGCGTTGATGATCATTGCCGTGTGCGGGATCAAGGGCCGCCTGAACCGTCTCCCTGCCGCCGGTGTCGGTGACATGTGCTTGTGCTCCGTGAAGAAGGGTAAGCCGGAGTTGCGTAAGAAGGTCATGCCTGCCGTCGTGATCCGCCAACGCAAGGCGTGGAAGCGCCGCGACGGGGTCTTCCTCTACTTTGAAGACAACGCTGGTGTGATTGTCAACCCCAAGGGTGAAATGAAGGGCTCGGCCATCACCGGCCCTGTCGGCAAGGAATGCGCCGACTTGTGGCCCCGTATCGCCGCCAACGCTGGTTCGATTGTTTAAGTAACCCCGAAAGACAGACACCACATTAAGTTTCGTGCCATGGAATCCAATCAACACGTGATGACTCGTAATCAAGTACTTGCGGTTGATCCGTCTGTGTTTTGTTGCTGACCTGCCCAACGTCGGTCGGTCGAGCCCTCCAAGATGCCTCGCCATGGCCGACATGCGATTACTTGCCCTTCTTGCCCTTTTTGCCCTTCTTGGCCTTCTTCGCCGCCTCTTCCTCCTCGAGCCGGCGCCGCTCGTCCTCGTGCTACGGCAACCATCGAGCCCATGTCTACTTTCAACTGAGCGATCCATCGCACCTTTTGCTCGTCCTTGATATCCTTCTTGAGCTTGACCAGGAGCTCCTTGGCTTGGTCCGTCAATACGGGCGAGATCGGCGTGGTTTCGTCGAGTTTCATCGCCACGTCCTAGTGCCATGGTGTTATGCGTGCATGGCATACATCGAGCACGAGCTCAGCAGGGAGCTTTTACCAACGCCGTCGTCACGACGAGGTTGCGATGGTTGAGAGCCTCCAACAGCGTCGAGAACATCTTCCCGTCGGAAAAGACGTACACGGGGCGGTTCGTGGACGGGTCGACTTGCTCGTCATGCTGCATCAGCGCTTCTTCCATCGCCATCTACACACATGCTAATGTGCCATTCAAATTGTGCAGAGCAAATTCGTGACCTCGGCATACAATTTGTCCCGAAGGACTTTGGCATTGCGGAGCAACGCGTCGCTCACCCCCTTGTCCTCGACGGCCGCAATCCCATGGCTCAGCTTCGTCATATCATTCAAGTAGGCCTTGGACCCGAGCGCGATGCGTGCGCTCAGCATGTAGTACCCGTACAACGTGACTTCGCCTTCGGCCATCACTATCACGCGCGTTGCGGCTTCAAGGAGAATCGGGCTCACGCCTTCCGTCTTGGCTTCGCGCCACGCCGCGCGCAGGCCATGGATGGACGAGCGAACTGTCACTGGACTACCAGCGTCGACTGTGGGCACAGTCTGAAGGAGCGAGCATAGGGATGTACTGTTACCGTGCTACGAGGACGCGCTTGATCTCGTCCACGAGCTTGTAGTGTGACACAAGGCGTTTGTACGCGTCGTGGGCACCTTGAATCAACCGGGGGTTCGCCGACTTGATCTGGGCGTCCGAGATGGCGGTTTGGAGTGCTTCGACATCTGCCACGTCGCTGTCGAGTTTAGCGAGCGCGGCCGTCAACACCTTCACGTGGTAGTCCTTGGGAACGGGTGCAGATGTGCTAGCCTCTCCCCCGTCGGCGTCCAGAAGTGCGCCTTCTGACGGCTACAAACCCTTCAGTCAGCGAATGGAGAAGAGGTTGAGAGGGGGGGCTACGGGGGGAAGGATGGCGGCGGCTCGAACGTCCAGCTCGATCGCGTGGATGTTGGACAAGCTATCTTCGACTGTCTTCAGTTTCGTCGCCAGGATGTGTTTCAAGTCGCGCTCGACGACGGCGAGCCCTTGGTTACAGTCGCAGCAATATTGCACGATGCGCACGGCGCTGTCGTGGCTGTTCCATGGGACTTCGACCCTACAGCCCCACGCCGCATGTAAGGACCAAGACGGACGGCAAGAGGAAGACCCTACGCGGTGGAGCACGGATCGACGTTGCAGTAAATGTTGTGGCATTGCTGGCACAGACATTGGCGCCGGTCCCGCCCAAACGGTTCCTTGCAGTGGTCGCATGTCGCTTGAGTGTGAATCTTCTTGAGCAGCTTGCGGCACATCGAGTCCGTCGTCATGTCGAGCGGCGTGTTGCCATACAAATTCCTGGCCGCCAGGTCTGGTGCGTGGGCGAGAACACTCTGGATCATGCATGAACTGGGACGTTTTCACAAGGCACGAGGTCGCTTGAGCAGCCGCATCGAGAAAACGTGCTCAGCAACGACTGTGCGTACCTGAACGATCTCAAAGTTGCCGCTGGAACATGCCAAATGCAGCGCTTGGTTTCCACACGTGTCGACGTCGTCGACGGAAAATCCCCACGACAGCAGCGCCCACACGACTGGGGCGTGGCCCTTGTAGCAAGCCCAGTGCAGAGGCGTGTTTTGCTGCACGGCTCTCTTGGCCTTGTCGGCGCTGCTCTGTCTCGCGGTGCTCGAATTCGCCAGTTGCTGCTGCTTGAGCTGTTTGTAATACTCGCCGGCGCCCATCGACAAGAGATAAGACACTACCTACACGACACGGTCAACAGAGCCGCATTTGTAAAGCACCCGCTGCCGACCTCGAATCGGCCGTGGAAACTCGCCACACTCAACGGCATCCACCCCGTCGTGGTGAGAAAGCAAAGGGGCGCGCCTTCTCGCACGAGCTTCGCCACCGCATCCAGCGCGCCGTCTTTGCAGTGCTGCAAGAGAGCGCTTCCTTGTGCCTGCTCTCCTTCTGTCGCGTGCAACTGATGGAGGATGTCCATGCGTGGCGGGAGGTCGATCGGTGCAGTCTCCGCGACCGGATCGTCCGGGTTGATGTCTCCAGGGGGCGCTCCATCGTTTGCAGGGTCTGCGACGACGTCTTTCAGCGTAGCCGACGTGTCCATGACAGGTCGTTCGTGGCAGCTTCCGTGCGCGGTTTAAACTTGAAACGTGAAAACGTGCCGAAAGGTCACGCAAAACCGACGCATTGGCCCGACGATGCGGCAAAATCATGGCGCCGTCGCTTCTGCGGAACTGCGAAAGGACCACATGCATAGCATGAAGAAGGACAAGGAGCCAACGCCGTCGACGCATCAACTGCGGCTCCTCCACTTCACGGCGCATGCCCGGCAAAAGTTGGCGGCAAAGCGCGAGATCCACGACATGGTACGACATGTCTTCTGCGCCAGCATCTCGTGTGTCCACTTACGCAAGCAAAGGTGAATTACGTGATCTTCCTGGCGCTGTTCTTGACCGTGGCCATCATGTCCACAAATGGCGACGACCTGTTCAAGTTTAGTAAGCTCGTGCGGTCGCATCTGGCCGTGCGTCCCTTTCAACTGATCAACACGTCCGTGTACAAGTCGTACGCGGATGTATCCAACCTGGACGAGTTCTACGAGTACTTGGGTGGGTGCCACCCAGTGCCATAGTCCCCCTGATGATCCAGGTAGTCGGGCCCTTCTGGGGGGCGCTCTACGGTGGGGATTCCTACGATGGTGACGTCACGCTGCCGTCCGTGTTGAACACTACCACCACGAACAAGACTTACGTCAACTACAACCGGGGGTACCTTGGCGGCGTGGGTCGCATTCTTGGCACGATACGGCTTGGCCAAGTACAAGCGCCTTCCACCGCCAGTCGATCAGTTGGGCTGACTTGTGTGGTAGGTCCGCGTGGCAGCCCACGCGTGCGACAACCTCGCTCCTGAAGGGTCGACGTGGTGCTTTCCAGAGTACTCGTCGTCGACGGCATCCACCGAGAGCTTTGGGCTCGGCCATGAGCCGTACGAGGCCGTTCACACGCACTTGGACGAGCCCAGGTACATTTCGATCACGAATCGCGTGTACCCCGGTCCGGATTTTACTGTCGAGATCCCAAACACCGAGTCCATCGACTGCGACGTCATGACGAAGGAGCACTGCACGGTGTACAAGATGCTCGACGACCTGCGCGCCAACAAGTGAGCGCAGAACCATGACGACGTCGACGACAATCGATCACGCGAACTTGTAGGTTCTGGGACCTGGCGACGCGGGCGATTTTCGTCGACTTGAGTGTGTACAACCCACATTGCAATGCGCTGGCCGTGGTGCGGCTGTTCCTGGAGCAGACAGACGGCGGCGGAATCATGCCGTCGATCTCGGTCCGGCCATTCGTGGCGCACTTGTCGTTCGACTCGACCCAAACGTCGTTCATGCTCGTGTGTGAAGGCCTGCTGTACCTCGTTGTGTGCCATCAAGCATTCGTGGCCGTTCGTAGCCTCCGCACTGTCGGGATCAAGTACTACGCCGTGCGCGCCAACATCGCGAACGATATCAATATCGTCTTCTTCTTTGTTGTCCTCGGACTCAAGGTTCTCACCCATGCGAGCATGCCGACCGAATTCCAAGATGACGTGTACGTGAACGTCCGGTACGCATTGCTTGCGACGAAAGCCTGCTCGGGTTTTGCTAACTCCACAACGACGCGCAGGTCCAGTGCCAACTACGACTACTTGTCCCGCAGCGTCAACAGCTTGAACTGCTTCCTCTCGGTGCTCAAAGTATTCAAGTACCTCTCATGTATGTGGTCCTGGCATGAATCGCGATGTGATCCGACGTGGTCTAGTCATCCCGACCTTCAGCGTTCTCACGGCGACCGTGTCCGGCGCCGTCGACGAGCTCATCGGCCTCTTTGCCATGATTGCGATCCTCCTCTTTGGCGGGAGCTTGGCGTTTACGATCGTACGTGTTGGAGCCTCGAACACGCAGGCACACGATACCCTCACCCGTCAGCGCTTGTTTCCAGGCGTTTGGGACCATGCTGCGCCACTACAGCATCGTCGTCAACAGCTTGTACGTGTGCCGCTCCGTTGCATGCCCCATGCAACCGTCGCATCCACTTGTCCTGGTCTCGGTCCGTAGCTACTCGCTGATGGGCATCTTCACCCTCAAGTTTGACGCGGAAGAAATTTTTGACGGGAATCGCGTCCTCGGCCCGCTGTTTTTTGTCGTGTTTGTGTCGCTTATCATCCTCGTCATCATGGTCTGCCGCTTCGTGCACGTCGTTAGCTCCTCATGTCGGTCTTGTAGCACATGCTCATTGCGTGCTTTGCAAACGGTATGTCGGCGCTCGGTCGCTGCAATGAAAAGCAATGGCGCTGAACGTGGGGGAACATTGGAACGTAGCGTATTTGGAGCAAAAACAGACGCAGATGCAACCCAAAGAAACCCAACTGCACACGCTTGGAGCGGACATTTGCGACCACATCTTGCATGTATGTAGGCATGTCCAGGGCTGCACGAAAGCGATGACCGATGGACCAGAGATGCGTAGAACATGATCTTTGCCATGCCGGTGGTGGGGCACCGTGTGTTTCTACCGTTGTACATCTATGCGATGAAAGCCATGAAGGACGCGCCGGCGCTCACGTCGGGCGACAGTCGAATGAAGTCGACGGTACGAACGACGTGGACGACGATCTTGGCGACGCGGCGCCAACGTGGCCATCATCTAGGACCGACGGGGGGCAGTCCATCTGCTTGAAGAGAAATCGTCACGGGAGGCGGTGAAAGCCCCAGGCACGAACCGCGTGTACCCTATCCAGGAAGACCCAACGGCGGTGGAATCGGATGATGGGGCACCAGCAACGTTCGACAATTTGCTGCGTGAAATGGCGGAAGAACGCATGGCGTTCGCAAACGAAGTCGAGCTCATGCTCAAGCATTTGAACGAACTCCAGACGAAACAGTCTGTGGCACATGCGCGAGAACTCGTTCAAGTTTTGGCCACTGCCCATGAGCTCGAGGAACGGCTCAACTCCAACCTCCATGAGATTTTAGAGTGAACACACACGACAATTGTGCCAACAGTGAATTCCATTGATGCTTCGTGCATGCAGAAATCGGCAACGCTTCGAGCTCGCGGTGTCGTCCTCGTCGAGGCGACGAGGGTGAAAAGCGTTCTGTAGCGACGATCAGATGCTCTTGACCGTCGGCAATCGCAACGAGCCATCGCATTGTGTTTAATGACCTGCCTGGAGAGTCTCAGACTTCGCATGACCTTGACATGGTGCGCTAGGAGTACCAGTGTCGGCGGGCCGTTGGGATTGCTGCAAGCTGGCTCTTTCACGTCAAGGTGCCAAAGGCCAGCCTTTTTCAACCAGAGGAAACAAGCCCTAGCACAACATGCCGACTACCTTGAAAGCATCGATCGAAGCGCGTGGAGCGCACCGATTCCCGTTGGTCTTCGGCTCTAGATCAAAGCTGTGTTCACAATCGTTCATTCCCCAACTTAAAGGTGAAATGCCAAATGGCCAAGCGCTGCGGTTCGAACAAACAAGACATCAACGGCAATGAAGCAACCATGCTGCACGAAACTTTGCGGCACAATCCTCGAGATCATGCGGAGCTACGGATTCGAAGCACATGCATTTTCTCTTGGTCAGTGCACAGAGACGCCCGGCACTTTCAACACTCCGAGCTTCAGAGTCTCTCCAACTCTTACTCAAGTTTGGTTCTCTCAAGTTGCGATCATGATGAGGACGTATACAAGCCACTCTCTCTATTAGAAGGCCCTGATTCGGCACACCTCATGCAAAAAGCAGCCACGCAAGCCGCCGCAGGACTCCGAGAGCCGAGCGTTGTCTGGAGTGGTGGCATTGCTTCTGCTCCGGCCACCTCATCCGCTCGACCATGGCACTAGAAAATGGTCATATCCGGAAGGTTTCCTTAACCGGAATCCCATGGTGCTGCAACATGCAAGGAAGAAGGAAATCAAGGAACTCTTGCTTGCGGCGGCTAAGAACAGATATGCCGCCGTGCAGGTGCCGAAGGACACGGTGTGCATCGCGCCTTTCAGTCCTTCGCCCATGGAGATGGTAACGAAGGTTTGGGAGCGTTTGCGGCCTCAAATGTGCGCAGATGATGTGGTGGTTGAGCTCGGCTGTGGCGACGCCCGGTGGCTCATCCAAGGCGTCCAAATGTGCGGGTGTCGCGGCGTGGGGGTCGAGTATGACCCCCATGTTGCCTCTTTGGCTGTGGAAACAGTAAACGCGTTGCAGCTTCAAGCGTCTATCTCGATCGCTGTAGACGACATCGTCGACACAAACTTTCATCTGCCCGTCGACACGTCGATGGTGATCGTGTATGCTTTTGCCGACACGCTCAACGTAAATGTCAAGCGCCTTCTCATGGAGCAATGCCGCGCCCCGTGCACAAAAGTCATTTCTGTAGGGGTACGACTCGATATTCGTTTTCACCATGTTCTCAACAATCGTGTACAGTTTCGCATCCATGGATGGATGCCGCTGTGGAGCGAGCGGTACGCTGGTCTCATGTGCTACTTCTACGAACTCTTCAAGGGGGGTGAAAGCGCCGCGTGAGATGTAGCCGTCTGTGTCAAAATCGCGGGCGGCAGCAGCGGCGTCTCCAATCGGTGGATCAGCAGCATGTTGTCGCGACGCAGTGCAGCGATTCTGGTTAGCAGCCAAGCCCGTCAAGTATTGAAGTAATCCAAGGAGCATGTGATCATACCGTTGGTTCAGCGCAACCACGTCTTTCAGCGCATCGAGTTTCTGCGCTTCCTCAGCCACGACGCGAGTCTGTATGTCGCTCAACTCCCTGATCGTTCATGAACTGTACCATCGCGAGGACCAAGATGGAGCCCACCGTTTTGCCGCCGCCAGCGCCATCTCCTTTCCTTCCACCGCTGCCCTCGCATCCGCCACCTTGCCCTCTAACTTCTGCACGTCCCCTTTCAGCTTTCGTACGTCATCCTTGCGTGCCTACATGAACGTTCGGCCAAGCGCAAATGGAGCTTCCATGGACCGTACTTCCATGCCGCCCAGCATGTGCTCCAGCGCAGCTTCGGCCTTCTCATACCGGATGGTTGCGACGACGAGGTCGTTGGTGAGGCGCTGGCATCGATGCGACAGGTCTCTGCACGCCATGTCGCGATCTCGAAACTCTCGCCGCTGGGTCTGGCTTTCCAGTTGGTGTTGCATCTACTCGCACGATGCACCGATTGTTCGTTGGTCCATCGCGGCGTGTACGGGTCGCGTACTGCGACAGCTTGGCGGTCGCGCCGCTCGGCGTGCACTTGCTCTGTTAGCGCTTCCACTTGCGCTGCTGTGGCCTTTCGATACTCGGCTTCCATCTAATCATTCGGCATGACGAACTCTTGACGGCATGCATGGCACAGCCTGGTTGGAAAACGCACCTGAATCTGACCCTCCAGCGCGATCCCTCGGTGCTTGAGCTTGGTAATTTCCTCGACAAGTGCCGCGTTCCTGCGTCAACCATGCGTGACGATTCCACTGCCTTCCCACCGTGAGGACGGAGGCTTACACGCTCTGCAGATGAAGCCATCTAGCCTCCACGTCATCTCGAGCTCGCTGGAGATCGCCCATCGTGGCATCTTTGGTCAATATATCGTTGCGAAGCACAGACTACACACATGCGAGCCAACATGCCATCACACAACCTCCCCCCCTGTTGGCCTGATGCGCTCGCACCTGCGAGCGAAGCAAGTGCTGCATGCTCGCATCCAGCTACTCATGTACTTCGTCGCCATCGCCTCTTTCTGGGTTCGATCGGTACCTCGTCCTGCCGGTGGGACCACGCGTCTCGCTGACGCGACCACTCGACCTCCACCGCCCTCCGCTCTGCATCGAGCGCTTCAATTTGGCTCACAAGTGTTTGGTTCAACGCGTCTGCGGCGGCCAACGCTGCTTCGATGCGATGACAGTGCGCTTCCCGCTCTCTAAGAACCAGCAACGTGCGTCGTGAAGCACTTGGCAGATTGGCACGCACCGACACCATGCGACCAAACTGGCGTATTCATCGCCTGCTGTCGTCAGCTTTTCATGCTGCGACTCGGCCAAAGCCTAGACATGTCGACAGGGCCAGGTTCGCCGAGAACGAGGACCGGGTACCTGCAACTGCAGCACCTGGGAGTCAACCGCACTTCGCTCCGACGTTAACACCCCGAGCTTCGTTTCAGCTTCGGTACATCGCTGCGTGAGGGCGACGACGCGGTCTTCGTAGAACTGCTTGAGCTGCACACAACCACCGCTGTGTTTGAGACCACCAAACGTCATGCCCACACGGATGGACCACTCAACCTACGTGCTGCATCTGCTCGCCCAGGGACGCAGCGTCGCCAGTCAGATGGTGCGATGACACCGCCTTGCCTTTTCGACGCCGCGACGGGGCTATGTGTTGGTGCAGCGCTTCTTTGAACAGGTTCGGTGGTTGTAGCGGCTCTGGATCGGCCGACATCTTTTCTGTCGTGGCTGTGGGCTGCGGGGGCGGCTCTGTCGGCGGCAGGATGTTGCTGTGGACGAGGGTCGACATGGACACGTTGTGACGAATGCCTTGCCGCATGCGGCACATCTCCTGTCGATTTAGGCACCTGCGTGGCATGCAACGATCTTGAACCGGCGCGACTGGCGACAGCAACAACGTTACGAGTCGCATACACCGCGTACAGATGTATCTACATACAGGACAATCGAAATATAAAATATATTTGATTGGGTAAAATAAATGTTGACGGAGATTTGATTGGTCATGTTTTTGAATACTAACTACTACTAGTAGTAATAACGTTTTTGGGGCACACCCAAGGGAAGCGCCACACTAGGTACAGTGCAATCCCAAATACGACGAATAAATAGGACAAGCGTTCGCTGTAGGGCGATGCCGACGGCGGAGGTCGATCACCGGCGCGGCAGAGTGGGGGTGCTAGTGGGCCGCAGCTGGCCAACAGCCAGACGACCGGGGCCCACGGGCTCGACTGCGACGTACTGCAGATCCTCGCCGACCATGATGTCGCCTTCGACCTTTTCGAGCTTGATGCCAGCGAACACGTGGTTGGGAATGACGCACACGCATTTGTCCAGCGTGGGGTACGCGTGATGGACAAGTGCAAGAAAGAGCGTTGTTTTGCTACCGCAGTTGCCGCGGAGGTCAGTGAGCACCGCCAACGGCCGTCGATAGCCTCCATCGGCGCGTTCATATGGCAGGCTCTGCACAAACGCAAGCGCGAGGGCAGCAAAATTTCGTGGCGTGTGCGTCGACGGCAACGCGTGCCGCAGCGCCGCGACTACAGAGGTCACCATGGGTGCGTAGTGCTTGAAGAGTCGGTCGTAGTCGGGCGCGATCGAGTCCTTCTTCCGTTCAAAGTAGAATCGCTCGTCCAGGAACCCGCGCTTGCACTCCTTGGCGGCGTCCCACGCAAGTTTGTTGGCTTCCGCAACCAATTCCTTCACAGTGCCCTTGACGACAATGTTGAAAATGGGATGGGGACCGCTGCTTCGTACAACACTTGTGGATACGTCGACCTCTGGCGGATGCACCAGCGCTTGGACAGCCGCTGCTTGAGCCGCAAGCATTTCCTCCACGGGGAATTGCAACGGCATCTCGTGATCTGACGCGACGTGTGCTCGCGGCAACTGAAACGACATGGGGATAAGAGTTGTCAGATCGTCGCCTAGAAACGTCCCGGTGACAATGACCACGTCGTCGCGCGTGTCGACGACAAAGGTCCCGCTTGTCTCGTTCGTAAGGATCGCGTCCAGAGGGGGAATCCACGAAGTTGGCGAGTTGGACTTTGTCGGTTTCTTGCGAGCGCGCTTGGATTTTGACGAAGACGCGGTGGTCCCTCGGTTGGCAGACTCAAGGCGGGGCATAGACGACCTGGACTGGGATCGTCGGAGCCCTTGACCCACTTGGGGTAAGTTCGGCTCGCCCGTCTCGATGGATGCATACTCGTCTTGAACGTGCCGCATGGCATCCAATGCACCCGCCATGCTTGCTTTGTTCCGTGGCATCGACGGCAACGAAGCATAACGACACGACTCCATCGTGTGATGAGTTGGCCAATTCCAAACTGATCTCGACGGTTTCTGTCGCTTTTCGGCGGTTTCCTTCAACTCGGACTACTTGTGACGCCGCGGGAGCTATTTGCATTCATCGCCATGACATTTTTCGCGTCGGGACGGTCGGCGGCGCCATGGATGAGATGCCGCAGCATGCTGACGCCTAGTGAGTCATTGCACTTGAATGGGTACTTAATCAAATGTTGAAAGAATTTAAATTGCATCAATGCCAGGTACTTTACGGAACATGCATAATGTGACGACGTGTTACTTTCGCAAGGGTCGAATTTTTTTTTAATATTCTTCTGCTGATTATCGTAATTGATTATACGTAATTTAACCAATGACGTGTTTTGAAAAATTGCCCTCAATAAAAATTTTCGTACAATTTCGCGTTCGATAAAGTACTCTCCACAACGTCGTCGGCGGCGCGGCCATGGTGGACAAGCACCACTGCGTTCAATGCAACACGTGGATTCAAGGCGACCGGATCGTACGAGCATTCACATCGCGTTACTAACGATCTCTTCCGCCCTTCTGATGGTCGCTGGTAGAGCATCCGCAACCATGAAGCTAGTCAGAGGCACAAGGAACGAGTGATTGCCAATGCTTCACGTCGAGCGACGGAGAAGGAAAAAGCAGAACGACAGGAAGCGGAGGCCCAAAAGGAGCTCGAAGAAGTCGAACGTGTACGTTCGCCTGCGGGATCATATCAACTCATGACTTTGTAGAATGCCCGAGCGAGGTTCGCCATGGACATGCGTGGTCGATCCATTGCTGTGGCTTCCGACAGATTCGACATCCCAATTGGAGCAGGACCTGTATTGCCACCTCCACATGCAGAAGATGACGACGAAGTCCCACCACCGCCTCCTCCTCGTCACCTCAAGAGGACGCCACCTCCACCGCCACCGCGCCTACACAACTTTTTGCAGCATCAGCAGTACCAACATCCCCATTACCAGCAAGAGCAGCAGTATACTTATCAGCAACAACAGCCATACCAAGCAACGTCCCATCCAGTTGTTGGCGCGTACTACTCGCTTCCACAAGCACCACCGCCGCCGCCCACTCGTCCGCCCTCGACCGTTGTCGTTCAGCCACCACCACCGCCATGTTCTCCACCACGCCACATTCAAACCCCATCGCATCCACCTCCACAATGCTATGCACCGCCACCAGTACCACCGCCGCAGCTACACCCCGCCGGCGAGCCAGCCACCACTGACAAACTTGAAAAGTCCAAAGGGTTTTACACCGTTCGAGGCGTTGTCTACCTCGAAGGCCCCGCGCACGAGGTACGTTGCTCTTCTTCCATCGCTTCTAAACGACGTGCGGTGGTGGTGGCCGTACCATGCGCGAGTTCTGACGAGATGTCGTTGGAGCGCAGGACAAACTCAAGAAAACCAAACAGTGCGAACTTTGGCTCGACGACGAAGAGAACTGGGTGCCTGTGACAATCACGCGCATCTTCACCACGACAGTACACGACACGAACGAAAAGTTCAAGCACTATCATGTCCAACGGCGGGACATCCCAACGGCGCCGCCCATCGAAGACGTGCGAAGCGATGCGCTTCGCATTCCCGCCACCATGCCTGTGGGCATGGTCGTTCCCGCCGAACGAGACCAGACCGCGGAATTCCTGCACCAGGTGCAGCAGATCGTGTCCGGGTCGACGCCGGCGGCCCCCGTGAAGCCCGCCGCGCCCGACTATGGCGGGTGGTCCACGGTCAGCGTGCGTGTTGTGGACGACGAAGCCGAGCAAGCGGCGATCGAGGCGGAAGCCGCGGCATTTGAAGCCAAGAAGACGCAAATTCAAATCGAACGCGACAACGACTTTCTCATGGAAGAGTCGTTGCATGCCGACAATGCGATGGGCGCGTTCAATCCGTGGGGCGGGCGGTACAAGGGCATTGCGCTCGACGGCGCGGACCCGCCCCGAGAGGACTCGAAGGACGACATGGCCGTGGCCCCTGTAGCCTTTCAGATCAAGAAGGGGGGCCGGAAACCCCAAGGCAAGCGACGTGTGGCCGACGATGCGTGAGGCCACGATCCGATCAAGACACGACCAACCAGTGGACCCAGCTATGCTAACGTCCTTGACTTCAAAACCATGGCCGGTTGCACAGAGTGAACGGAGCTACCAGGACACAGCGTGCATCCAAAGTCACGTAGTGAAGCGATGGACAAGATTGTCCTGGCACGAGCTCCGGACAAGTCGCATTGCACAACAAACTATGCCTGAGTTACATGGTGTCAGCGCTATATTGGGCTGATTACAACTGTCCGCCTTGTGCTTTGATGCGTTCGGCCTAGAGAAAAGCGTCAGCGCCGTGATGGAGACGTCCAGTAGATGGTCGTACGTCCAAGTACGCGGTGCCATAGGGCAAGAATTCTTCGCTGTGTGTTTCGGCCAGCTTGGTGTACTCCGTGGCTTGCTTGACCAAGTCTGCTACTTCGTCTTCGCTGACATCGCGCACGAATTGCGCAGGGCTGCCGGCCCACAGCTACACGCGCAGCATGAGACATCAACTGTGTCCCTCTTCATCAAGTGGACGAACGAACCTGGCCCGACGGAATGCGGCGACCAGGAGGCACAACCGTGCCAGCCGCCAAGATCGAGTTGGACTCAACCAACGCACCGTCCAGCACAATGGAACCCATGCCAACCAACACGTTGTTTTCGATGGTGCACGAGTACAAGATGGCACCGTGGCCGACCGTCACGTTGTTGCCGATCGAAGTTCCAGGAGCGAGACCAGGAGTCGTCGTGCTCGACGTGTGGATCACCGCGCGGTCTTGGATGTTGGTACGGTTCCCAATCGAAACCTTGTTCAAGTCTCCGCGAATCACGACGCCATACCAGATCGACGAGTCGTTGCAGATCTCGACGTCACCAATCACAGACGCGTTCGGGGCCACCCACGAGTCGTGTGCGATCATGGGAACCTTGTCGTACAGGGCCATGACTTGGCGATGACGGGAAACTAGGCACACATGTCGTCAGGTCAGCCGACTCGCGATGCCAGGACATGTTGAACATACACTTTTCACGGTGCAGGTTGCTGCCAAGCACACGCAGACCCAAGCGGTCCACAGCTTGACCGGTTTCACGCACGGCGCGTCCAAGTTGGTAGATGGCCTTGCGCATGTCGTCCTCGGTTTACCTGCCCGAAATGAAGTGCTGGCAGTCAGTGGTTTGTGTGCCACAGAACTTGGAGTATCCGGATAGCACGCCTCTTATCCGAAACTTTCAGCGCCCAATCGACGGGCGTCCGGTGTATATCCGGAAGATACACGCAGCGAAGCGTCGACGCGAACGACGGGCGTGTGCGTTCCGCCAGCGTGGCGATGCACACGCTGTCCTGAGAGTGTGCTAGAGCCACGAGCCCCATGCGTCGTTTGGCATGCGCATGCACACCACGATGGCCAAAAGCAGCGAATGAGAGGAATTGAGTGAGAATCGGCGTACAAACAGGTCGACTACAGCGGGTTGTCTCCGCCACCCATCGTGACAATCGTGGTGTCCGTCATGTAGGAGCACGCGAGGCATGGTGATTGCCAGAACCATAAGCTCAACGGAAGACAGGACGATTTGTACACGTCATGAAGTGCGTCTGCGCAATAACGCTGGGATTGTTGTTGGCCATCGGACACAGCTCGTTGGCTTTGCTTGGAAGGTATCGAGCTGCGTCGATTACATCGATCGGCCCAATGCTGCGGCCAGCCAAAGCGCTCCCGTGCTGGAACGCGGTGCTGTCGACTTGTTCAAGTAGTGGAGTCGCGTCCCAGTGTTGGTCTGTCGTCAGAGTGTTGGTGAATTCACAAACGGACATTTCGTGCGTCGCCGCATTCTTCGATTGTCATGGCCGCATCGCCTCGAACGACGCCATGGGCATTGAAATGGGGTTGGTATGGCGGCGAAGTCGCAAACGCACGACCGTGCGCGTCCACTTATGAGTATTACTCGACGTGCGTTCCTGCAATCCCTGCGACGAAGTACCAAGACCTGGCTTTCCTCGCTGACCCCGACGTCGCCGTGATTCCCAAGTACGGCCACCTTGGCGACGCCATGGCAGACTACACGCATCCGAATGAGCAAACGCGCGCTGTCAACGCCACCAAGATGAACGCGCTGTTGGCCACCGACCCGGACGTCCCCCCGTCGTTCGTGCGATTCATGACATCCAAAGCGCTACAATCGAACCTTCCGAGCTGCACAGCGTGCTACACGTACCTGGGCGACCCCGTCACGATTCGAGAGCTCAACAACATGCGCATCGTCATGTTCTACCGTGACCAGCAAGATTGCTTGGCATGGTACTTGGTTCTGGACGGCGAGCACGCTGGACGGGTTGTTGGGTCGCCTTTTATTCTAGGCACCGGGGCCGACGATGACGAATGGGACGTCGACGCGTTTGTCGGCGACAGTGCGTTGTGCGCGACGTCCTTTGACGAGTTTCTCTATCGCATGTGGGTGGAAAACCACGTGTGGTTCAACACGTCGACTCCCCCTGCGGTCGCTGAAGCGTGCCAATGGTACCAACGGCAATGCCATTACGTCGCGCAGCAAGCACGTGCCACTGGCGAGCAGCCATGAGCCTCCATTCGACACGTCCTTGCACTAGTTCTACCTAATGCCAGTAAACGACGTGGTCATAATGGCCGCCGCCACACTTACGACCAGATTGCATCCTCGTGGACCGTGCCGCATCGGCGGCACACTGCGACGTACAGCGCATGATCGACGTGCTGTCGTCGAGTTGAACCGCCGCATGCACGATGTAACGGGCACGCAAAACCGTCTCGATTGCCCACGCGTGTGCTGCTCCGCCCCACGTCGACGCGAATGAGCGTCGATGACAGCCCGGAGCGGATGCAGCGTCTACGGACAAAGGTCGCACGAGAACAGACACGATCTGCGTCCAAGGAGATTGTGGAGATGGTTCGTTGGTTTCGGCGGATTCGCAGCATGTGCTGACGGTGGCCCCAGGTCAACTACATTGTCTTTCTTGGCGTCTTCCTCGCCGCTACATTCTACGACCGCAACGACAACTCGTACGCGACGCGGACGACGTATGTGTCCCAGCTCCAAGACAAACCTCTCGCGCGGTCGTCCGCGTTCCGCTCGTTCTACACCATGTCGTCCGTCCGCGACCTGCACGACTACCTTCGTACGTGGCAAACCTTGCTAGCAATCGTAGCGATCCGATCGACATGCGATTCCTGGTGGTCTTTGCACGTAGAGGGGCCATTCTACGACGCCGTGTACCGCGCACAATCGTTCGACGGCGACACGACGTTTCCACCCGGAATGCTCTACAACGGCAGGGGATTCCTCGCTGGTTACGGTCGCATCGTCGGGGCGATTCGCATCGGACAAGTTTGTGTGGAGTGCGCAGCGCCACGGTGTGTTCAACGCTACTGCGTAGAGTCGTGTGGATGGTTCGACGTGCACGGGGACGCTCGCGCGAGTCCCCAGCCTCTTCCCCGTGCAGCCGCACGACGACTGCTACCCCGAACTGACCGCGACCACAGAGAGCGTTGCGCCGTTTGGGGCCCCAAACGGATCGGTTTACACCGCCCGGACGACCGTGCCGAGCGAGCCGTACTTTGTTACGCGTAGCGCAAGGGTGTACGGCTCACCCCGGTACGTGATCGAGATCCCGTCGATGGAGCGCGTCGGGGTTTGCGACGCGGCGACAACGAAGCAGGGTTGTCCCGTATTCGACCAGCTCGCGTCCCTGGCCACCCACAAGTTGGTGCACATGATTGTCGCCTTGAGCGTGTTGATGAGTGTGCTGGTAGATTCGTCGACATTGCGACGCGCGCCTTCTTCATCGACTTGACGACGTACAACCCCAACACGGACGAGCAGACCACGGTGCGACTCATGGTCGAAATGACCAAGGGCGGCGGGTTCGCCCCCCAAGTTGAGTGCATGAGCTACCGCCTCTACCGCAACCATACGTCGTCCGATATGGTCCGCCTCGGTCTCGAATTCCTCGTGCTGTTGCTGGTCGCCGTGCAACTTCGCCACGAACTCCACTTGCTCCGACGCATGAAGTGGGCGTACTTGGCCATGGTCGCGAACGTGGCGCACTTGTTTAGTTTGATCGTGTTCGGCCCACTCATGGCGCTTCGTGTGATGTGCTATGTGCACTTGCCATCCCCGACCGCGATCGACCTCGACGCGTTCACAAACTTTCGGTGCGTCCATTGTTGGCATGGAACGGGTGTCATGACGGGGCGAATCGCCTGGATAGATCGTCGATCTGGTACTACGCCCTCGCCGACGCTATCACGAGCTTTACGTTTTTTCTGTCGTGGCTCAAACTGTTCAAGTTCCTCGCATGTACGTCGCACGCGACCAGTCGTGTGTTGTGCAGCTCGTTGATTGCTTGGGTGTGGTGGTAGTCTTGCCCCTGTTTGCCCCGCTCACCAAGACCGTCACGAAAGCGCTCAAGCAAGTCGCGGGGCTCATCCTCATCTTTGGCGTCGCGCTCATGGGCTCTGCGCTGTCGTTTACAATGGTACCTCCATGCCTCCGCTCCACCGCCCCATCACGCGGGCGTAGGCATTTGGATTGGATGCGGAAAATTATAAGACAGTGGCCGACAGTTGGTACGTCGCCGCCGCTCGCGGTCGTGTGATCGTACACTGGCATTAGCTTGGGCTTGCTCAAGATTCTTCAAGGGGAGCTCGAGTTCGAAGAGCTCCACTCGTCCAATCGCGTGCTCGGCCCGCTCTTCTTTGTGATCTTCGTCACGCTCATGTTTTTCGTGATTCTGGTCGGTACTTTTGCCCTCGATCGCGTCAAAAACGTGTGGCTGGCACGTGCCTCACACGTCCACGTAGAACATGTTTATTGTGGTCATTTCCGACGGTACGTAGCTGGCGTGGCATGACCAGAACTGGCGTCAATCGGTGGCGGTAGCGTACGTCGAGACGAAGGGCGAATTGGAGCTGATGCATGCGATGCACATCGACACGTTACCGAGGCAAATGATGCACCACCTCGTCTACGTACGTGTCTCGAGGCTGGCACCGCCGCTGTATTCCTTTCGGTCGTTAGAACGGCTTGTTCAAGCTCCCATGGTGCGGGCGGCGGCTGGAGCGCCGGTACGGCCACGCGTTCGACACGCTCAGCACGGTGTCGGATCAAGCACACGCGCTGGAGATGTGCCACAAGACGCACGCGACGACCGACGTCGTGCATGCGAAGATCGCGCTCTACGCGAAATCGAAATGCCATGACCTGCAAGCTGACCAGGTTCTCCGGTCACGCCAAGCCATCGACGACTATTGCCATCAACTCAAGGCGCTGCGGGCGTCGCTGTCTTGCGAGGGGCACCGATGACGGCGTCCCCAGCCTAGTATCGGACTCATTAGCTATTTAATCTCGAAACAGTCGCGTCTTGCCGGTTTCGAGTCACGTGGAAAGGAGTGTCCGGTGGGCAGGTTCAACCGAGCGACCCCCGACGACAACCCATGACCGCGCGCAGCGACGTCAGCCGCAAGACGATGGTGCTCCTCGGCGTCAGCGCGAACGAGATGTCGGCCATCTTGAAAAAGGTGCAGGAACACAAGGACTTTTCAGCACATCGTGAGATCAAGGACATGGTAGAGGCTTTTTCTGTCGTCCCCGCCGCGGATCTTTCATGTCTGTCGTGGTGTGGTAGATTCAGTATTTGATGTTCCTGGCCCTCTTCATCGTCGTGACAGTCGACGTCAGCGGCACGGCCGCCGCCGACAGCCCGTACAGGGTCACTGCCATGCTCAACGCCCAACTCAACGACAAGCCATTTGCGTACCAAGACGTTCGAGTACGAAAGTCATTTGACAAGATCAAGACAGTCCTCGAGCTACACCAGTACCTGAGTACGTGGCATCCGTCCCTCGACGGGGGTAATCGAGGGCTGACCGTACCTCAAAGCTGGCCCGTTCTACGACGTTGTGTACGCCAACGGCGCGTTCGATGCAGACCATGCATTTCCTCCCGGCGAATTGTACGCCAAACGCGGATACATTGGCGGCAATAGCCGACTCGTTGGCCCCATTCGAATTGGCCAAGTGCGGACGAGACGACCCTGGAAACAAGGTGGTGACCGTCGTGATAGGTGCGCGTCAAGGCCGAAGCCTGCGGTGGCGTCATGGCATCTGTGCCCGGCCTTTTCAACGACCCCGTTCAGTGTTTCAACGCGTACTCGGCAGCGACGGACAGCATCGAGCCGTTCGGGCACGGCTACAATTACACGGCGCTGTCGCCCAAGCCAGTCGAGCCACGATTCTACTCGCACAGCCACCACTGGTATGGCAGCCCAACGTTTGGCGTGATGGTGCCGCCGACGGAAGACGAACAGTGTGACGTTCGCACCAAGCAAAACTGCCCTGTGTACGACCTTCTCGCATCGCTAAAGGAGCACAAGTACTGTGCTATCGACGAACTCGACGGACTCTGTGCCTTCGACTGACTCGGCTTGTTTGCCACAGATACTTTGACAAGGCAACGCGGGCCGTGTTTGTCGACTTGAACCTGTACACAGCGAACATCGACCACACGACAACCGCTCGATTGTTTGCCGAAATGCTGCCGGGTACGAAAGGTGAATGGCAGTAGGATGGGCTGCTCGAGAGGGAGGTCTTCTGTAGGTGGCGGCGTGACGACTCAAGTGGAGTTTCTCACGTATCGGTTGTACCCGTGGCATGACACGGCGGACTTTGTCCAGGCTGGGTGTGAAGGGCTCATTTACGTGGTGATCTTGGCGCAATTGGCGCGGGAAGCGACGGCGGTGCGCCGCGTCGGGCGCAAATACTTTGGCGAGTTTTCAAACGTGGCTGTCGTCTGCAACGCGCTCTTGTTTCTGTTCGTGCTGGCATTTCGCGTGTTGAGCTATGCAACACTCCCGGCCTCGATCTCGGACGCCGAGTTTGCCAACTTTCGGTACTGTCTCGTGGGCCTCGAACCAACTCGTTGGAACAAGTGTGTCGGTCTTCGTTTAGGACGCCAACCATCTACTTTAGCCTGGCGCGGTCGTGCCAGAGCTTCAACTGCTTCCTGTCGTGGCTCAAGTTGTTCAAGTTCCTCTCATGTCCGTGCAAAATGACCCCGCCAACGTGGCGTTGACATCAATGTATATATGTCTACAGTCATCCCGATGTTCGGACAGCTCACCAAGACGGTCCAACGCGCCGCGGGAAAAGTGCTCGAGCTCGTCGTGATTTTTGCCCTGACTCTTGTCGGCGCCGCCCTCGCGTTCTACTTGGCGTTTGGCAACTTCGCAGCCAACTACCACACGTTCCTCTCGAGCTTGTACGTGTGCTCCATTCTACCTTCGTTTGGTCACGTCCGCTGGCTATAGCTACACCTTGCTACACATTGTGACGGGTGAAATGTCGCTGGCGGACCTCCGCCTCGCGAATCGAGTCCTCGGGCCCTTCTTCTTCATCTCGTTTGTGTTTCTCATGATGTTTGTTATATTGGTACAGTTCGCCGTCCTGCTCGACGCATCAACCCATACTTCTGCCTCCACGTAGAACATCTTCATCGTGATCGTATCAGAAGGTAGTACATGCCCCTTGGCGGGGCGTCTGCACATCGCAGCTCACGCGACGACGGTAGCGTACACGGACACGAAGAAAGAGCTGCGCCTGATGGACGAAATGGCCGTCGAGAGCCTGTCGAAAGCGATCGCGCACCACTTTCTCCATGTCGGTGCTCGATCCGTCCGCCCACCCACGGCTTACGTTTTGTAGGATTTTGTCTACCGCGTCCCATTTCTCGGTCCGCGGGTGCTCCAGCCTCTGTTTGCGCGAACGTCGGACGCCATTGCCAAAGTTAACTTGAACGCCACCGAAGTGACACGGGTACGCGCGTCCACACGGGTTGAATCGATGGCTCTTGACGCGTTGCGGTATGGGGTGGCCCGCAGCGACTCCGCCACAGCACCGCGTCGTTGGTACGCCCTCGACACTGGAACCTGCCGATATCGTTCCATGCCCACCTCCCCCTTTGACACAATAGGGCCGAAGCTCGGTCGTAGCCGCCACCGAGGTTGTTGTGCAGTCGTCATCGCTTTGGAGTCACATCGTGTGTGCAGGTCATGAAACATGAAACAGCTCCTGTGGCAACACCCACCCAGCCGCCCCCTCCCGGCACGGACACGCCCCCAACAGTTCCGGTGGCCTCTGCCAACGTTTCCCCACGCAGGGACAGTGCAGCACAGCTGACGCCGCTGGCCATGACGTGTCAAGCCAAGCTCCAAGATATCGAACAACTCATGCCGGCCTGCCTGGAGCACCTTCGGGTGGCCAACGACGTAAATGCGATGAAAGTGTGGCTAAACCAGTTTCGGACGCTGAGAGCCCAACTAGACGACGCCGTCAAGACAAGCGCTGGTGTTGTTACTTGAATAATGTCAGGCATTAACTCATCGGAGCAAGTCTTTCGACGCATTTCGTGGAGCGAGGGGAAGCAAAAGCTAGCCTTATTGTGTGCATGATCTGCCAGCGTGACGACGGCTAAACTTTTCAGGCAATATGTAAGAAGATGGCTGGACCCGTAGGTTACGTCGTGTAGAATGGACCAGCTCATCGCACGGCCACTACTTCGCGCCGCTGTGTCTGGTGTGTCTCCAAGACACGCACCGTGGCGCCGTCATTCTGAACCGTCGAAAGCACCAGACGGATTGAGTTCAGGCAAGTTGTGGCATGCACTAGAGTAGTCTCGCTCTGTTGTGTGCCGACGGGAGAGGGTTCAGGATTTGGGACAATAGGACACCACCTACACCAGGAATCACTTGGTGCGTCCACTCGTCCAAACACCGCATCTTACGTGTGTGGAGTGTCCCCTTAATGTCTTTGGCGCTGTGAGCATCTCGTGCTGGATGATCGACAGCACATTGATGCGGGCGACGAGGCCTGGCTAAAATCGTCGGCTAGCTCTGTCACCAAATGTTGCCGAACTCCGACCTCTTTGGCGACGTTGGGCTGCCTTCTCTCGTGAACGAGAGTAGGCAAGTCGGCCAAGGATGTGTTCGTCTGGTGTTCTGGGACATAGCCGGCCCGACAGCAGGGAGTACACCCTTGCCCATGGTTACGCAAGGCTCGGAAGGACCGTCATGGCCACAAATCCTGCAACCTATTCAACTTCGCCAGCAGCGGCAGCCACAGCTTTATTCACTGTCTCAGCCGGTACGACGTCGGGAATCGCTCGGCGACCTCACTCGACCTGATGCGCCTTTCACGGGCGGCTTTCAAACCTGTTGGATCACGATCCTTGCCGTCTGCCCCAGTCAACCCTGGTGGGTTTGGCTTCCTATGGCACCTACCGTCGACAGAAACTCCTGACGGGCTACGCCAAGCCGTCGGAGGAGCACGACAGAGTCCACTCAGCTCGTGGGCAAAGGCCACCGAACGAAGAATCACACAGCGATTGTGTATTCTTAAGGTTGGTGTTTATGCGTGCGCTAGGTCGAGCCATCGATCGAGGTTGGCCTGTATCGTATGGAGCGCAGCTTCGTGTGGAGCGCGGTTGAGGCTGGCTAACGCTACCTTTGTCGCGGCGACGCCCTCCTCGTATTCTTGCGCAATCGCAGCAAACAGGCTGGCCACCCGCTCGTCATCGTGCGAGTCGTGGGAACTCATCTGCACACGTCAACAATGAGCCGTCACACCGACCAGGCCAAACCACCCACTCAAGTTGAAACGTTGTATTACCTCCGACTCCACGGGCACGACAGCTCCTTCTCCGTCCAGCGACTGTGAGCACACCCCTGAGGGACGTGAAGGCACAAGCAAGTGCATACCTCGCTCGTCGAGTCCACTGCAGCTGCCTTCGCATGGTACAAGGATGCCCCTTGTTTCAAGCGAAGCACCGCCTCCAGTTCCGCAGCCACCGTGCCTTCGTGAGCGAGTCGTGTGACAGGGGGAGGTGAGTCCGCCTGGAGCCTCTGTAGCACGTGGATGGCGCGGGATATCCCGTCATGTAGTGGCTGAAACACATGGGGACCGATCCACCGCAGGTTCAGGACGACGTCCTATCCAGAGGAGAACAGTGTGACCATTCTCGGTGGCTACAATCGGACGAGGTGCAATACAGTCGACCGTACGTGCCACAAGTGATGCAAGATTTCCCTGGTCGACACTTTCAGTTGAAAGTCGTGCATGAGTTCCAGTTCCCGCTGGGCGTCGATGTACGCTGTTCCGCACAATGGCAAATGAGCTGCACAGTCACGACCACACACTGTCGGCAACTCTACCGTCGGTGATGATCACGATAAACATGTTCTAGATCGAGTGGTCAGCATGCCAAGTCAGCATGGCGCGGTCGTACCAAGATCACAAACAGCATGAGCACGACAAACACGCAAAAGAAGAGCGGACCGAGCACTTGGTTGGTTTCCACGAGGGCTTCGAGCTCGACCTTGTTGATAATCACTTGGACCAACGTCAAGCTACGAGGGAGAGCCACTCGTATCACAGCCATAGGCGACGTTACGGCCGTACAAACTTCGCCAGAACGTGTGGTAGTTGTGCAGCCGCATCCCAAACGCCTGCAAACGTCCTGTCGTCAGGTTCACCACGATGGAGTTCGTTCGAAGGGACACCATGTTAAACGCCATTGCAGACCCAACGAGGGAGACGAGGAAGATGAGCATGAGGCCGAACATTTCCTTGGACGCTTTCGAGATTGTTTTCATGAGCTGGGCGAACTGCGGGACAACTGGATGTGTGTGGTCAGCCGCCAAACGACTGCAATACCGTCCATGTCACGTACACGACAGGTAGTAGAAGGCCTTGATCCACGCCAAGAGGCACACAACGCTCGCAACACACTCGCCGACCCAAAAGTATTGCATCGACGTTCTGCGCCACACGTTGTGTCATCCATGGACCACTAGAGGCTGTGGTACCGAAAATTCAAATACGTCGTCGACGCGATCGCAGACGGGTCCGGCAAGTGGACGTACGAGAGCCACTTGCACGCTGCAATCACGTAAAACAGGAGCAAGTGGACCACATGCACTTGGGTGGACACGTGGCGGCCCGATGGAGGGGCTCGATACTACGCACGATTCAATCGTCGATAGAGAACCTTCCACGGCAACGTACGATGCGATAGAGCTGATGCGTCGCCGCGATCAAAACGGCGATTTCGCCGATGATTTTCACCGCGTCGTGGGACGAACTGTACGCGTACAAGCGCTCCGTTTGAATCAACCCCCGCGGCTCCATGCCCCCCGCTGGATACGCTTCAATGTAGAGCCGAACGACCGACACATCCCGAAAGTTGCGGTTGTACACCGCCATGTCAATAAAGACAGCTCGAGTGGCGCGGTCGAAGAATCTGGCCACGACCGCCGTGAACCGGGCGCGCCTGCACACGGTGGACGTACTTGGTTTCTTCGATCGCTTTGAGCTGGTCGTACACGTCGCAGTGCTCGAACGTGTCGCGGTTGCAACGTTCGCTCTCCTGGTTGGGCAAGTACACGTTGAATCCCGGCGCAGGGTACAGCCTTGCCGAATGCGATAACATGGAGGGTTCGACGGACGGCGGGACGGAGTCGTAGGAGTACGTGGCGCCGTGATGGCCAAACGAAGCGTGGCTGGCTGTGCTGGCGGTGTATTCTGGATAGCACAACGTGGATTCATTCTTCAGGTGCGGCGACGTCTCGATCAGCATGCCCGAGCACGGAACTCCGTCCACTCGCACCTACCCTCTTTCAACGAACGGTGGACAAACAATGGCCTGGACCAACCTGGCCGATGCGAATGGGTCCCCAAATTTCTCCGTACCCTCCGAGAACGCCCCTTGGACTGTACGCGTTGCCAGGGGGGAATGCATTGTCTCCGTCGAACGACCCGCCCGAGTACACGACATCGTAAAAGCTCCCCACTAGTCCACCATCAAGTCGGCCGTCACGGGGGTCAACATGGACGGGCTCGAACTCACAGAGGTACTTGTGCAGCTCTTCGATGCTCTCGACGCTCTCGCGAAAGGTCTTGGAAACGGACGAGACCCTTGCTGGCCACGGTTTGTCCTGCAGCTGTGCCATGAGGCTCAGCGCCATTTTGTACGTCGAGTCGTCGTGACGGCCATGCAAAGTCGTGGCCACAAACACCCCGATGAATGCAACGTAGTGCAGCTACCCATCCGTGAATCGGACGCTAGTCGAGGAGACACGATGTCTTGCTGGAGGTAGTTGGCGAACGTACCATGTCGAGGACTTGTCTGGTCACTTGGAGGAGCGACTCCTTGTGTACGATAGTTCCCAGCGCCTCCTGCTGGAGTTCAGAGAGGTGCTCGACGCGGTGGATCATGTCGTCGTTGAGTTCGTTGCATTGGGTCATGGATTTTGCGAGCATATTCACTTCGACGGCGGCGGTCCCGCCGTCGGGCGGTGGCCTCGCGTCGTTCGTGTCAGCACAAGATACCGATTGATCTCGGACATACTTGCCGATCTCACACAATGTCATGGAGGTGAAGCCCCATTCTACACCGTTTTGAACAACTGCGACGGTTGGGACCAACGATGGATCTGCGCAGGTGTGAGGGGTTGCTTCGCCCTGTTGTAGCGGGAATGGTGCCGAGCCAGAGGACATACGTGGCGTCGCTGTCGACGCTGTGCAGTCGACAGCATCGTCGACATGCGTCACATGCGTCAAGAGGTCATCTGTGTTTGAAAGGAAATGTGCCACATTGAAACGACTTGGCTCCTGGTCTCCGAGGGATGCCGTGGGTTCCACATGGTCGGACACTTGTCGTGGATCCCTCAACCTATTGTCGACATGGTTGGCAGCTTCAGAGGAGCCTTGCCCTCGGTTCAATGCCCTGCCCATCATCTGAACACGTGCGGCTGCTTGCATGAACTTCGTCCGATGCTCCGATGCAGCCGTCGACGTCGATATTGTGCGGACGATCATGGTTTCGCCGACACCGAAAAAGGCGACGTTACAACAAAACGTAGTTATTTTGACCCATTTTCTCGACTTGGGTGGCTGTTTTGAACCATTTCATCACCAAGAAGCGAACGATGGTAAGGCGATGGAGGCGGTGGAGACAGGAAGGTTGAGATGGCGGGTCGTAGGCAGGGCAATCCGCGAAGAAGGCGCAGAGGGCAGGATCCGAGCTCAGTGCGAGATTGAACCAATCCATCGTGGCCGTGAATGTACGTTGAACGGAAGCCCTCGTTGAGTCCCTTATGCCACTGCGACGCGCGTCCGCCTGGTCTAGGCCGTGTACTTGTTGTATCGAGTGCTGTGGCACTTTGGCACGTTCTCGACGTGGCATGCGACTGGCTACGCTTTCATCTTGACCGCCACGTATGCCTGCTACACCATGGCCGTGGCCTCTGCTCTGGAAGGCACCAACAACGAGTTGCCACTTTCGACCCCCGCTTCATTCGTCATATTCCTGCGTTAGGTATGCCATGGATGTCCTGATCGTGACGCTCATCGTTCAAGTTGGAACGCTTCTGTCGGACTACTTTTGGTACCTCTACTTGGTGGTAAGGTGCCTTGGACGATACATAACCATGGCGCAGCAATCATGCATGTCATGGTGGTATTTTTCAGGTGCCGGGGTACGTGCTGTACTTCGTCGGCGGCAAAGCTATCAAGTACTTCTTTCCTCCAGGCAGCTCTGAGGTCCACACGTTCCCCACTCCTTCCGTTTTCACCTTCTCCATGACTCCAGACGTCCAGCGTCGAGCCTGCCGTGTCCAAGCGCATGCAAAAGCTCGAAAAGCGCGGTGTCCGTCAACGCGCGCTATAGACATCACGTCCCTGCAGCCATCACGTTCTCAACACGACGACTCTGTGGTTTTCACTTCATTGACCACAACCGCTGACTGGCGCTGGTTTGCATCCTTTCTCTGGCAGACATGTTGGCGGATTTCGCTGTGGCTACAGCTAGCCGTTCGTAGAAACCCATCTTGCCATCCACCCCGCCGTCGACTTTGTCCAGCGGGTACCCCAGCACGAGGCCTCCAGCAAGGGAATTGGAGGCGGTCGTCGGTAACACGAGCGTTCCGCCCATCCCGAGCACTTGGTAGTTGATCGTCAGCGCCTTACGGATGCCGCGGCACGGGTCTCCGTAGGCAGCCACCAAATCCAGCTGCTTTGGAATGACCAGCGACTTGGTTGCGTTGCCTGGTTGATAAATACATACAGTCACATGCGGCATGCACGTCGACTTCGTGCGATACCTTTTGCCGCCAGCACGCCGATCGGCTCGGTCACATCAAATGTCTTGAGGACGTTGGTTGGATGACCAAAATACGCCCTCGACACAACCAACGACGGAAATACCTACGCCGGCAGCACTGAGATGTGGGCGGTGGAGAAGATGCGACGGGTGATCGAATCAGGACCTACTTCTTGGATTGAGATGGAGACAGGCTTGGCCAGAAACCCTTCGGCTGCTACGTGGAGCCGCAGCTTGCCCCCTTTGGCCATGGCAAAGTTGCGGCTGTGGCCGCCGCCCTTCTTAATGATCTCGTCGTCGGACCCGGTCTCTCCTAACGATGGCGGCGCATTCCCCTTCGACTTTCTCGTGCGTAATTACCGTAACCCAAAAGGGAATACTCCACCACGAGGAGGCGGGGTAGACCAGGGCATGGGTCTCCAAACAGCGCGTTCAGGTTCTCGTCTGTATGAATGCTCAAGCACGAGCCGGGCACTTGCGCGCGGTCGATGCGAGCCTGCAGGAAGCTTGCTACGGCTATTCGCGTATATCGTGAGTTGCCATGTCCCTTTTTTTGATGGCAGGATGCGCAACATACAAAAGCAGGATGCTGCATTTTTCGAATCGCGCAGCGCTTGCCATCTCGTCCATTCGTCATTGCAACTACCCGTTAGTTTGGCTTGGGCAGCCACGTCCGTCAATTTGAGATCGAGGTCGTGTGGCAGCCAGCCATAGTCGGCCCGCTCAATCACGATCCCCGGACCAACCTGCCCCGCTCGGTCGATTGATGCCTTTGTCGGTGGATGCGCGACGGATCTTACCACAGGGAGATGCTGGATCACTATGTCGTCGACGAGGCGCCCGTCCTGCTCGTACTGCCTGGCTTGGCCCGTTCGCCCGATGATTTCGTAGTCGACAGTCAGCGTCTAGAAATCATTTTGACACGTGTGTTGTGGACGAAAATGGGTGGAATATCTACCTTTGCCATAGCTTCACAGGGCTCCCCAAACAATTGCGTCAGGTTGGTCGTGGCTGCGACCGATACAAAGTCTCCTCCGTTCAGATCGGCGAGCCCTGTGAGCCGCTCCGCCACGTCAAACACAAGGCCCTGCAGGACATGCCGTGTCACGGGGTTCAGTCCATGAAGGTTTCTCGCACTGGCGTGTTCGAGTGGCGATGCCCGTACGTCGCTCGGTTGATCCAGAGTTTTGGCAAGTTGTCGACCCCGAATTGCAGCGTCAATGGAGCGAATAAAGCGCCGTCTTCTCCGGTCTCGCACCGCACTTCACCGTGCCGCGTCAAGTCGGGGTTCAAGTTCGGGACAACGTAGCGCAGGCAAAGGACCTGAGTTGCATCGATGTCTTGTCATCTTCAGGTGAGGAGATGCACCCACCTTTCGTTTGCCAGGAACGGGATCTTGATGTGCTGGAAAAAACGTGGCCAACAGCGGCGTGTTGGCTGGAAGGTGCAGGCGACTGTGTGTCGGGGTGCACGATATGAGGGTCTGTATTTCGGCTAGCACCGATACCGCGTGCTGTGAGTTGGTTGGGTGGCCATACGAGGCCGCGAGGACGACCAGTCGATTTTGCCCTTCGAACGAGCCGCGGCACGGGCTGCGCTGCAAGTGCGGTAGCAGGCAGACCACCGATTCCCGCATGACTTTGGCACAGCTGTGGCAGTACCGATATGTGTCGGCAAGCGATGGGTTCGGGTGTGCCACGCCACAGTTGGGGCACCGTAGGTGGGACGAGCTTGACGCTTTCATGGGGGGGAGCTTCCATTTCGTCTTGGCTCGAGGGGCAGCGCTGGTGGCGTCGGCCGCGTCATTGCCCGAGTTCAGAACCATGCGTCGCGTCCCACAACGTGAGTCAAAAGTAAATTTAGACAACTCGACTGCATTGATAACTCTAGGACTTGGTTGGAATCCGCGGATCTTGTGATACTTTACGTTGGCATGACCTCACAGCGACCACATCGCGTTTATCCTCGCACCAGCAAGTCTGTGTGTGTGTGGGGGGGCGAGCTGCGCTGTGCCTCCCCCTCCGCACTCTACAACGAGGGCTGCAGCTCCTGGTGACGACCGGTCACACTCCTTGCAATCGATGACGTACGCAATCCTTGACCATGGCCATGCCGTTGCCCTCCCCGACGCCCGCCACTGTCCCACGAGCGAGTGTTTCGGTGTGCCACGGAGTTAACCAGGCAGCTAACTTCTCAAAGTCGTCGTGGCACATCGTTCGGGGGGCGCGGGTCGATATCAAGAACCTGCATGTTCCGAATCAACCCCCTCGCCAAGGACAAAGACATGTCACTCTCGTGACTCCTTTATTCGGCGTACGACAAAGCGTAGACAGCACGAATGTCAGTCACTGTTGCGACGTAGCCATTCGGTCAAACTCACCCACGTGTATCGATCATTTGAAAACTTGTGTCATGGCCCCGATTTGTGCGTGGACCCCTGCCGAGGTTGAAACTCGCCATCCTGTCGCGTTCATGTTCACATCATTTGCGCCGTAGGATCAAATCCTTCGCGACTATGTGTGCCTTCACGGCGGCAAACAGTGGCGCGGGGCCGTGGGTCTCTTTGGCTCGCGCAAATCTATTCGCGACTGCCAGCATCGATGGAAGCTGTTGTCTCAAACGTCCATGGGGAAGCAGCCGTGGACTGAAGCTGAAGACCAAGCGATGCTCTCGCTCGTGAGAGGACTCGGGCCACACAAGTGGGGTGTGATTGCGTCGTACTTGCCTGGTCGAAGTGGAAAACAATGCCGCGAAAGGTCGGCATTTCCTGGGCTTGTCCCTCCCTCCCCCGCCCACGTGGACTCATCGATGGTGTAGATGGTGCAACCAGCTTGACCCGTCGATCAGCAAGGCGCCTTGGACCGCCGACGAAGACAAACTTCTGGCAGCATTGCAAGCAAAACATGGAAATCGATGGTCCCTCATTGCCGAAAAGTTACCCGGTCGAACCGACAATGCCGTTAAGAACCATTGGCACGCTAGCGTCAAGGTAAGGCAAGCCCCCCTTGCCTTGTGGCGATGGCAGTCGCCTGACCGGGCGGATTTTATCATTGTAGATGACGAAGCCATACAAGGGCGTTGTCCCCCGGCCACCGTCACAAGCCTCGATATCGCCCATGAAGGAGGAATCTCGACGTCCACCAGTGCCCAAACCGCTGCCCCTCCTCGACACGGACGACGTGTGGAACCTGCAAGATCTGGATCTGGCCACCGACATTTGCTGGGTCGACCCGGACTTTATATGGGGCCATGGCGAGACTATGGCCAGCGAGTCCTCCCCCGATGCCATCGACGACACCCAAACCGTCGAATGGCTCACATCCGTCGACATTTCCCCCTCCGGCGTGCTGTGACTCGTTGTTGCTTGAAGTTGTCCATATTCAGAATCAAAACACGGTTTGTCGAGGTGATGTGATGGTGCGCTGTCTAGCATGGCCCACGTTGGGCAGACAAGTCGGTTGTGCTTGGGCGTTCGTTCGAGACAACACGTGCGATTGCTCGTGAAAAAGAGAGCCGACACACCGTCGATGTCGAAACAATGATGGGAAGTTCAAGGTGACACACCTCCCACTCGCCAGGGTCAAGGGAATCAACCGCCATGCTCTACATCGCCCAGAAAGACTCACCACAAGGCAATGCACCGTTAGGATGGAGTAAGAGTAGAAGAGAACACGGTTGGTTGACTCTAGTCGGAAGGAGTAGCCCCCCTTTACCCCTGTTGTGCCCCCTCGCCCTTGGTGCCAAGATTCGGGAGAGCGTCGTCATACGGGGGGGGCTTTGAAGGCCTTGTCCCGGCGATCTCGACTTCGACGATCGAAGTTGATTCGAGCGACGACCCACTCTGCCACGAAATTCTGGAGCGATCCTGTCGAGAATATTTACGACAATACAGTCTCCTAATTCGGACCATTGCGTACGACGCGGGGGGAGGGATATGTTTGCTCCGTTGGGAGAGCGTCGATTTGTTTTGTGTCCAAGGTGGTGGTGTCGATTTCTGCGGTGTTTCCCAGTCATGGCATTCTCCGCCCCCTTCGGATGCCAGACATTAAGGGCTGCGCTCAAAGACGAGGCCTGGATGTCGTCGACGAAGAGCCCAAGCACAAAGTCCGAAGCATTGGTACAATTGAAGATTGTTGTCCACTCCAGATCTAGGCGTATCGATCCCCATTTTGATTCAGACTCATGCCACCATTACGCACGACGCACAGCCCCGAAACAACTCGTCGTTGGACATGGCAGGGCAATGTGGATTGAGTTGCTTGTGTCCGTGGGACGATCGAGCGTGACCAGAATGACGTGGATCCCCCGCCAGCTATAACGTTGCATTGGCTCACGTTGCAACATGTCGACCAGGCACAACCGTTCGGCCAAGAAAACGTCTTGCCACATCCCCCGAGTATGTTTCGCGCGAGTCCTTCGGTTCAAGGCACATATCGTTTGAATTGGGGGGGGCGCACGCCTTTGCAAGACTGCCAAAGCCTTCATCCGTTTGCCTCGCCATCTATATAAACATCTGCGCGCGTGGGAGGATCCCTTTGGTAATCGATTAGCAATCGATTACCAAAGGGATCCTCCCACGCTAATCGATTGCTACAGTTGAAGTCGCGGGGCAGAGCTTCCTTCGGCATGTCTCGCCCAGTCGCATCGGAATATCAAGTCGAGCGGGATGTGGCAGTTGAGCACGTTTTGGAGACCTTTCGCAGGTCGATATCGAGCCCCATGGACGTAGTCGTTTCAGAAGAGGGGACGGGGGAGTGGCAAGTCGAGGGTTGCGTGCGTTTGCAGCTCGCTACGGCGGCCCGCCTGCCCTTCAAACTTAAAAAGCCAACGCATCGACCGCCCCATCGGATGCGAGGAGCGGTCAACGTGTTGTGACAGACATGTCTCGTACTGATCTCAGTGATACAACGTTAGTCAATACAGGACGGATTTCTTCCGAACTCGAGACGTGTGGATCATAACGTCGGTGGAGAGTCGACAGGGCCGCCACGAGCCCATGTTGAAGTACCCCCTTGAGCCTGGTAGGCTTTCGCCTACCAGGCTTGCTCCTCAAGAGCTCATGGATACAATGGGACAGGGCGGCGCTCTCGCCCCTGCATCGCCCGTGGTCCTTGTTGTGTGTGTCACATATGACAACACCTGGGCCAACATCCATCTGCGACACCCTTTTCACACACGAGTTAAATAAACTTTAGTCGTGGGCTCGCCGTCGCCGCTATGTCGAGAAGGTGGTACGACGGGGATGCGGGCGGGGCGGGAACTCGGCTTAGACGAGTGCATTAGCTTTCGGCTTGACACCTCCCTCTTGCACCATTATGCATTGGCATCGACAGCGTTCCGGAGATGCTGTCGTTGACAGAATCAACCGAAGGCCAACAGCCACTTTGTGAAGACCCACGGCCACGCAGCTTTGGTGGCGGTGCATTGGACCACGCCACGACATTGTGTCACGCGATGGCCGTCCGTGTCATCGCTTCCGAGATGCGCTGGGGGGGGGCAGGGGAAGCCGAAGTGTGCTGGGCCGCATGTCCCTTGTACGTCAGTTCTCACGTTCGACAATCCGACATCCCCAAGCACCTGCGAGGCTGCCAACAGCAAAACGTCGCCCACAACGAAAGCCCCACTTTTGCATTTCACATGAATCACAACAATTATCCCCACTGGACTCCCGCCGAGGTACGAATCGACGCCATCGACCGGACGGAGCTCGTCGCTCGGCACTGTTGGAAGGCCTGCAGGATTCGATCGCCCCAGTGCTTGACCCTTGATGGCTAGGACCAAACCCTTCGCGACGCGGTGTTCCTTCACGGCGGTAAACAATGGCGCGGGATTGCACAGTTGTTTCACCATCGCAAGAGCGTCCGCGATTGCCAGCGCCGATGGTATGCCCTCACACAGGAAGCCACGATCAAGTTGCCATGGACAGAAGCCGAAGACGAAACTGTGCTCGCCCTCGTCCACCGCCTCGGACCGCACAAATGGGGCGTGATTGCGTCGTATCTGCCAGGGCGAAGTGGCAAGCAATGCCGGGAGCGGTACGAGCCCGCACACTTTGCGACCTCCGCATTGCATATCATGGAACGAACGACTAGGTGGTGCAACCAGCTCGACCCTGCGATTGACAAGTCGGCGTGGACGATGCAAGAAGATCAGATCTTGGTGGCGCTCCAGGCCAAGCATGGCAACCGATGGTCCCTCATTGCCGAGCACTTGCCAGGGCGCACGGACAACGCAGTCAAGAACCATTGGCACGCCAGCGTCAAGGTAGCCGTAACCTCAATACATCCATGCCAACTGACGGGTTTTGTAGAAATGGAAGGATCGAAAGGCGTGCTCGCCGCTGCTCCCCCCCCTCGCCCCCTTTACGTCATCGCCGCCAGTTAGTGGGGCCTCGTCGCCCACTGGCGTGGACGCGGTAGTCGGCTCGCCCCTTGTCGGCGAACAGGGCGACCAGCTGCCGAAGTCTTCATGCATTTCGCTCGACTTTTTGTGGAGCAGTGCTCTGGACGATGCCCTCGACAGCTGCAGTCCGATGGCCGACGACTCGGACTCTGCTCCCGCACACGTTGACCTGTTTCATCTGCCCGACATGGACTGGCTGCCGTGCTTGGACGACGAAGGGCTGCTCGATACACAGCTGTACCTTGTGTGACCAGGGTGGAAACTAATGCAAACAAATTTATTGACTATTTACGCCACCGAGCCTCGGCACTCTTGTCTTGGACCAGTTCATCTTCGGGAATCGCGAGGTCGACGTCGTCGGCGATTTGCATTTGGTGGAGCAAGCCCAGCAAGGCGTCGAGACTGAGCGCTTTGTTGCTTTCGCGGTGCTGCGCGTTGTGGTTTTGCTTGACGTGGAGGCAGTGTTTGCACAGCTGGGGGTCGATCTCATCGCGCTGGAATCCAGGGCACACGGTGGCAATCGAGCACTGACTGCACTGCGGATGGTGCAAATTCAAGTACTCGATGCACCGCGACCGCTGGAGGCGCTCGATCATGGCTTCACGTATCTCTTCCTTGCGCTCTTCTGCGTCGTATGCCTTGTCGATCGCTGCCTGGCGCTTGGCAGCTTCGGCTCGGGCCGTCGCGACTTCGTCTTCGGTAGGACCAATGTATGGCTTTGTCGCGACCACCGTGTATTCTCGCCCGACGGCAACTAGAAAATTTGGCATTCAACGACACGGGTTGGGCTGGCAAACGCGGAAAGCGCATGAAACAACGCGGCCGGACGTACTCGAGCAAGGGCGACCGACAAATTCAGCCATGCCTTCAACCATGCCTGGGACAGCGCTGAAGCTTTCGGGGTTTGAGGCCATTTCGGTCGGTCGACCCAAACACCCATTGACATTGCTGCCCCACGTGTATACCTCAAGCACAGAATCAAGCCATGTACTACGCATGAATCCGCTTCCAACCTCGTCGTCGACGGACAGCGCCGCATTGTGGTACATGCCAGCGCATACTCGTTTGATGTACACACATTGCGTGAGAAAGTCCTGAATAAGCGTCGGCGTTGGCACGACTTGGTTGCCGCCGAGGGCGAGCTACGCGACCACGCATCATCCACCACCCATGGCGATGGCACGGTCGTCGCATACTTGGCCATAACGACCTGTGCCCCATGAATACACCTATCGATCGCGTCACACTTCGTCGTGGTCGAAGCAGCAGCACGTACGAAGCCGCCTTTGAGCAACGGTGGCACCAGCACAATGGCGACGGTGTGCCAGCACCCGCAGCTGATTTGAAACACGACGTCGGTCGCGAGTGCTTCGACGAGCCGAGGCGCCACGTGCGATATCAAATCGCCATGCCCTAGCCGACTAGGACGACGTGTGTTGTCGAAAGGTTTGTCACGATGGACACGCGGGGCGTACCCTCCGTCGCCGCTGCCCCACGTGTACATCAGTCCACCGTCGTTTACAATTGCTGCGTGCATGGCTCCGCATGACACCTACGTCAGTGTTGAGAACGGTTCCAGTTGGCAGCGATGGGAGACCTGCTGAACGCGCTGCTTTCGCAAGTGCCGTGTCAGCGTCGAGTGATCCGTCGTGTTGTAGACAGACCCAAACGCGTGAATGTCTCCGTCGTCCGAGATGATCATCGTGTGGTCTGTACCGACAGCAACGCCTTTGACAATGCATTTCTCCGACACGGTGCGGCTCCAAATGGTCGGCTCCATCGCATCGACGCCATACTTGATCTTTGCCCGCTACAACGATTGCCCCACGTATGTCGGATGCCGTCGGGCTTCATCGCAGGTGTGGTGTTCGAACCTTGGACTGAGCAGCCGACAAGGCGTGTTGGGGCTCGTTGCCGAGTTGACAGTGGTCGTTCTGGCCCCACGTAAAGACATCGCCGCATTTTGTTCGCGCGGCGCAGTGCACGCGGCCGACGGCAATTTGTACAATATCTTCGCCGCTGATCGATTTGAGCTTCACCGGGGCAGGGATGATCATCGCGAGCTGGTCGTCGGTAGGTGCTTCGTCGTCATCTGCATGATGCGAATCTTCCGACACCGCGTCTCCGTCGTCATCGTCGTCGTCGTCGTCGTTGCTCTCATCACTCGAGTCCATGGCATCGCGCTCCGGCGGCGTGCCTTTCGCGTCCGTCGGATTGTCGGCGCTGGCGTCATGTGGTTTGTAGCTCGGGAGGTTGAACAGATTTAACTTGGGTGCCCCCGCCGAGTCGAATCGGTTGCGCCGCTTCTGTCGTGGCAGCCCCGTCGGCCCATTCTTGTTACCCCACACGTAGACATCACCGAGGCGGGTTACGGCAAATGTGATGTCCGAGTCAAAGCCCTATGTGCAACCCAAGGACAGTGAGCAGATCGCTGCGACTTCGCGGCATTTGCCATCCAGGACTTCTCTTCAGATTGGCATTTGAGTTACACAGCTGAGGAGCATCGACAAAAGCGCTAAAGATCTTGACCGACTCACCGCGTAAACTTGGCACACTCCCAACCCTCGCGTTGTCTTGATCTGAGTTGGCAACGCATACGACTGGCAGTCATTGTGACCTACGCATGAAACGAAGTCAAGTGAGGTCGCGTAGCGGGACAATGGCGCGACCGAGCTGTCCTTGGGTCCCTGTGCCAAATGTCCAGATGCCTCCCAGCTTGTCCTGACGCCTTTGTTCGGCTAACTCGGCTTCGCGTCTCGACGCAGCCTCTTAAGACGGGTGGCGCCACGATGAGTGCGTAGATGGGAATGCCTAAGGCTAGTACACACCATCGGCGCGCTGTTTCTCGAGGGATTCCGTCAATCGTTGAACCTAACCACCTTTGGAACAGAGATGGATGGCACGATGAAGTACCAGGATACGCTTCTTCCCTCTCGGCTCGAGTTCTCGCGCAATACACGATGCGCGCAGCATCTTGACTTTCATTAGTGTCAGGCACCGCACGTCCAGCTACACACATCATCACGACAGACCCACACACCGAGCTCCTCACCCGACTCCATTGCTCCGTCGTCAGTAGATTAAAGCTTTCTGCGATGGACAGGAACAGGAGCTTGCGCCAATTCACTGCATCCTTTCCTGTCGGGATTCGAATGTCGAGCTTCTTTCGTCGAAAGAACACCATGGACCACCACCCTGCGGCCGCGCAGCTTCCAACAAAGCGGCAAGTGTTGAAACGTCCGAGTAGTCGAAATAGTATAATGTAACATAAATAGTGTGTGCAGAAGTGATTATGGTTGAAAATTTAAATCCGTTCGTAGAACTCATTGAATGAAGAAGTTTAAAATTTGAATTGAAAAAAGTAGTACTACCTGGCAGGTCTGAATGTATGTGAATGACACTATTTAATGTGACCTTCACACTATTTAAACCGGATCAGTAGTCTTCAACCTGGATGTCATGCTTCTGCAAGATGGCCTCGATGGAGAGGTCCACGACGGCAACCTTCTTCTTCAAGTCCACTTCCGCCTTGTCGACTTCGATGGACGTGTCCATTTCGCTGCGGCGACAGGTTTGCGACAGCATGCGCCGACGACACTTCCATCCGGAGTTCGAACTGTGCCAAGGTCCACTGAACGAAGAAGCATAATACCAAGGTCCTGCTGACCAGCCCAGCGTCTCAACATGTCCTTCTGGAACAATCGGGACGACATCCTCGAGAGCGTTACCCACTTTTCCTCCTGCAAGAAACTTGAGGGTCGACGAGTCATCAAGGTCGACACAAACGCACCTGCACGATATGCTGGCCGGTTGTCCGAAGCACGCAAGTGCTCCTTACTCCATCCCAGGGAAGACGAGAGTCGCTCGTGTTCCCAGCATTCACGGTTGATTGCTTGGGCCACGTCATGACGATTCCACACTTCCACGGCAACATGCAGCTCCAAGTCGACATGAGCCTACAAACGCATGAACACGAGATGACAGGTCAGCGTACAACCTGCTCAAGCTTGAGACGCTTTGACGTGACACCAGCAAGTCGACGGGACTCAAACTCGGACAACGGGAGCGTTGTGCTTCCAACGTGTGAGTCATGGCCGAAACAGTTCACTTCGTGGATGGCAAACTCGAGCACACGACTGTACATTTCAGCTTCGGTCACGTCAAACGAATACGTTTGATGGTCCCAAAGGACTTCGGCCAAGACAGGAGCGCGCGTGGACGTCGTCATCGCGGGATGTTTGGAACCGACACCACGCAGTTTGGTCTCGACATACAACCCGCGAGTAGGGAGCACGCATCCGCGCAACTGGACCTGCTTCGCGCACAGGACTTGCACGCGCAAGTGTCGGGGAATGTTACTGTGCACCTTCTGATCTCGCTTCGCGGGAGCGTCTTTGCGCGGGTGGCGTGGTTTTGTCATGCCAGGTGCGGGCAATGGTAGGAGGTGGGCACGACTGCGCCGGGCCCAGGCTGTCACACTTTCGAGGTGTCGTTATCCGGAACATTGCCCGGATGTCTCGAAAAAACATCCCGACAAAAACGACAATTGAGGCGGGGCCAAGCCGTGTTTTTCCACCGCGGGTTGAAAAAAAAAGTATCCAAAAACTGGTTCCATATTTTTTTGTTACACATACAATCGACAAGATTGACGTCGACACAACAAAAAAGGTGCGGCGAGTTGAATCGGTTGCACGCGGCGCCAGCCCATGCACCAACGCGGCGGGGACCCGACGTCATACAAGTTTGAGAGCCTGACAGGAAAGACCGCGATGTCGGCAGATTCGAGCGACAACCTCCGCTTCGTACGCGTCCAGCTGCATCACGTGCTGGGTGTCGAGCCGATCATTGCATCGACATGTTTGGGCGGCGTGCGGCGGTCGTCCATATTTGCGGAACTCAGGCTATTTGGTGACGGCGCGTCGCACACGCCAATGTATCAATCGAACTCGATCCCTGCGCATGGAGGGCGATGGTACAACGACATCATGGATTTGCACCTGACCGAGCAAGACATGTATACCCGCGTACTCGGCATTACGCTGTACGCTGTCGACCTCCTTGGTCTATCTGTGTGCATCGGAGAAGCAAAGGTGCCCATGACGCCGTATGAGCTTCTCAAGCATCAAATCACGATCACCGATGACATCAACCTCACCGAGGAAACCTTTGACTCAACTTGCGAGGAAGTCAAGACTGGCCGGCTGCGCGTGTCCGTGGCTGTCTGGACGAAGGATGACATGCTCCATAGCACGACGCTTGAAGTGTGGGAGCACCAGCGCTACGCCTGGGGCTCGTGGTCGAGCAGCCATCTCCTTGCCACGGATCGACCAACATATTCATGCGGGTCGATCACGAGCAACAAGTGGGTGGACATTGAACCCGATGTGCCTCAGGACTACATCGAAGTACTCGGATGGTCCGCTGACAAAACTCAAGGCGATGATTCGGGCTGGTTCTACGCCGCGTCATTCAGCGGCCCGTGGCACAATGTTGCCGGGCATGCGTTTTCGTGTCGCCGGCGGCGGCTGACGAAACGAGCGCTCCTCGCGTCGGCGCAGTCTCAAAAGCATGTTCAACACGAACTGCTCCGTCTTGACCACCCGCAACTCGTTCGAGAGTTCCAGGATGTTCAGCTGCTGGCCAAGGTTTGCCGCCATGTCCACCTTCGCAACATGTTAACCATGTGCGCATAGACACACATGCTGGAGGTGCAGAAGCTAGCTCAAGCGCATCGAGAAGAACTCGCGATCGCTCGCGAGAACCATACCAATGCAATGCTCACGGCACGAACCATCTTTGAGGAGAAGCTGGCGACGGCCAAGGGCATCCAAAAGGATTTGTCGGATCAAGTGGCGGCGCTTCAATCGCAGGTAGCGGCGATGGAGTCGAAGCTCGACATGCACTCGCTTTCGTACGACTCGACACCTTTGAATTCCCTGGAAGATGGAATTCACGTCGGCGTGTAGGGCAACTCCAGACTCGACGGACGGATCGATGTCGATGTCGTCTTTGCATGCCACTGCGCCGTGGCTCTTTCGTGTTCAACTGCACAACGCCAAGAACTTGGTCGCGGCCGACTCGGTCTTCATGGGCGGCAAGAGCGACCCGTACGTTGTGTTTACGATTGGAAGCATCCAACGCAAGTCGACGATGCAGCGCATCACGTTGGACCCGGTCTGGTACAACGAAATCTACGACTTTGACTTGACGCGGGGGACGTGCGCGACGGCCGTCCTCGACGTGCAAGTGTTTGATTTTGACAAGTTCAGCGCCGACGAACTCATCGGGTCCGTCCAAATTCCTCTGAGCGAGTTGGAGGAGACGTACGACCCCGACACGCCGCAGACATTTCCACTTGAGATTCCCAAAACGTTTGGTCGTAAAGCGAGCACGGTGACACTGCAATTCGAGTTTGGTAGCTGGTACGACGACGACGACGACGACATGGATCTGTGGCCCAAGACGGCGCCCGTCCAGCTCGTGATGTGGGAAAACGAGCGGCATGCGAGGGGCCAGTGGTCCGCGCACAATCTCAAATCTTTCGACCGCAAGGCGTGGACCGTTGGCGACATGGCTTCGTCAGCCAGGGAAGAAATCGCGCCCAAGATCCCACTCGGCTTTGAGTCCCATCTCGGTTGGGCTGTCGATCGCAACCACGGCGACGCCAACGGGTGGTTCTACGCGTCGTCGTTTGACGGGCCGTGGATGAACGGTCCACATGCGACGTCGGTTGTTCGACGTCGAAAGTGGACGCAGCAGTGCACGCGCCGACGCAAACGATGTGAAATGCTCTCGATGCCAGAGGACGACCTGCTGCTGCTGCACGCAACGGTGGCGTAGCCTCTTCCAGGGACTCGACAAACCTTCATTTGATACGGAGTACCTAAATATATGTTTATCCATGTTCCCACTGGTACAAAACCCTGGCTGACCGCGATGCCTCGCCTGGACGCGGCAGTGCGTGGGGCATCTTTCGACATGGCGATGGATGTCGGCATCGTCGCACATACCGAACGCCAAACTTGCCAAATGTCCCTCGCACTTGCCATGGTGTCGGTTCGAAGGAAGGTTGGTTCAAGTCTGGGAGAGATGAAAGCGCCATGAGCGTAGAGCCCATCCCAATGACTGCGATTCGACATCAGGAATGGCATTCATACCATTCGATCATCTACTTGTGTGCTGGATGGGAAACACGACATGACCTTGTTGTCCTGAAGCGATGCCAGGGACGGAAAGACAGCGTTGGAATGGAACGTGTGCAATACAAATAAATGAGCGAGCTTTGCACATGAGCGAGATTCTAGGCAGATAAGACAGCATCATGCGAGTCTTGGTTACTGCCGTTGTCTTCAACGATCGCAGTGCATCGTTGCATCCACATTCGTCGACGTACTTCGCTCGACCCGTTCGGCTTATTGACCCATGGGCCGTCGAACGACTTGGCGTAGTACCATCCGTCTTCGCCGCCATGGTCAAGGTCCAACGACCACCCGAGCTTTGTTTCCATGCCCTTGGGGATCTTGGGTTGCATCGCAGCGCGGTCCACGCCCGAACGAGCGCCCACACTCCAACCTTTGCGCTCTCCAGCAGTGAGGTTCGCCTTGTCCCACTTGCCCTTAGCGAGGCGTTCGTTTTCCCACAGCAGTTGCTCCTTTGACGCCTTTTCCATTTCTTCGGTTAAGAGTTCAAACTTGAGATAAATCTTGCTCGAGTGCCCTTGGGCCTGGAATTCCGGAGGTATTTCCAAGTCGAATTCTTCTTCAGTCCCTGACGGAAGCTTTTGCTCGAATCGCATCAACGGCAATTTTACACTTCCGATCAATTCGTCGTCACCAAGCTTGTCGGCATCATACACGAGAATCTCAAGCGACTTGGTGTACATTGCACCTTCAGTGAGGGTGAATTCATGGACTTCGTCATTCCACACAGGGTTCAGGTCACCCCAGATTTGGGTGCTTCGGAACTTGACGTCGCCGACCTTAAACACGACGTAGGGGTCGCTCTTTCCACCCATAAAGACCGAGTCAGCCACCACCAGATCCACGCACTTGGTAGCTTGGACACGGAAAAGGCGTGATTCTGTGCTGTACGGCTTGAGCTTCATGAGTTCCTCCTGCTCAGCCAAGGCACGCAGACGAGCCGCTTCGACCGCCGCTGCCTCTGCATCTGCTTCTTCTTTGGCGAGACGTTCCAGTTCGGCCTGTCGCAGCAAATCAGCTTCGCCCTGAACCCCTCGTAATGCAGCCAATTGTGCAGTCAGAGCGGCAATCTCCGCTAGCAGTTCAGCTTCACGCGCCTTGGAGTTTTCAGCACTTCTTTCCAAAACGACTACTTTGGCGTCAGCTGTTGCCTGAATGGCAGTCAATGCTGCAACTTGCTCAACTAATGCCGTCTTTTCGGCAGCTGCGGCAGCAACATTTTGCTCCAATGTTCCCACCGTGACAAGCGTGGCTGCTTTCGACTCTTCGAGAGCGGCCACCTT